GAGAATACAGAATTCCCACAAGAGTGAAAGATGCTTTATATTCTAATAATCTAACACATAAGGGGCAAAAAAAAACATATATAAATGTAAAACAGACAAGTCAACAGCAGCCCAACAACAAACAAATTTGATTAATAGGGGAGCATGCATTGAATCAAAGCACGAAAATAGAGAATATTTGCATAACCTCACCTGTTTTCACCCGAAGAAGTTGTCATCTTTTGATGCAAATACTGATAATCTCCCGAGAAATGGGAATTTATAGATCTAAAAAAGACCCGGCCCGGGTCGGGGAAGACCTGCAAGTCATGGATGGAGAAGGTGGAGGGAATCTTCCACCGAATCAACCGTGAAGGCCCTTCTCACTGGCTGACACATTTTTCTTACTCCCGTGCCCAACACAATTAGCCATGTTTGAGACCCATTTTTAGTTGATACAATGAATTTTATTTATTTATTTTTTTTCAGAACGTGTGGTTAAAAAAAAATAAATAAATAAATAATTGAATTACCTGTAAAATTATTTAATTGGAAAATGTGAAATTAAAATAAAATTTTAAAAAAATGGAGCTTAAACAGGTACTTGATCATGCCTAGCCGCATCACTCGCATATTCCTTGTTTGGTCGGGACTCAACTATTTAGCCTTTCTCGTAGAAAATTATAGTCTTGTTCCAAATAGTTGAACCTTGTGATATTAGATCATGAACCTTTAATTTGTCACACTATGGGTCCCTAACCTATGAAACGATGGTAACTGCCATTCTTTTATGATAGAGAAACATTAATTTAACCTAAAAGGGTATTTTTGTGCAAAACAACATTGCATATGTTTCTGAATTAAAATATGAAAAGAAAAAAGAAGAATAGATGGTACAGGAATGTAATGATATAAGACGAAAATTATTGAACTTAGATTTGACGAGCGAAACTTTTGGTAAATGTGGGAGAGGAATGCTATAGTGACGGTAAAAATTCAAGGTTTGGAACCAGATGACACGAGTCATCTGATTATTGGACAGACTATGAAAAAAAAAAGGAAACAGGTGTTGACACCTGCACCTATTTCCAATGCCTGGGTTTAAACCCTGGCAGAATAGCAATACACAATGTGGGAACATCCCAAGTTTGTATTCAAATTACGTAAAAAAAATTGAGTGGATTTGGTTTTTTATTCACTTGAAAGGGCCAAAATGAGGGACAATCTTAATAGTCAATTTTTATTAGAAAAACTCATTGGAAAAATATATCAGCCACTTTTGAATATCAAACAACGAAATAGATTGCTCCTATGGGTTTGTCACGTCGAAAATATAGCACGTAGAAAAATTATTCTGTACACTCATAACAACCAGTTGGCGACAATGACGATGCTACTTGTGCTACAATTGTAACAATTGATTGGGGTGAGAAGGTGGAAGATAAATTTTATTTTTATTATTTCACTTAAATATTTATTTGTTTAATCATTAATGGCTCATTTTACATGATTTTTTGAAAAGTCAACTTTTGAACATGTTTGGATAATTTTTTAAAGTGCTTTGTTTGATTAAAATAATTTTTAGAAAAAAATTGTCTAAGGTAGAGATTTAAGAAAAAATATTTTCTAAGGTAGAGTTCTCTTGAAGCTCTTCTACCAAAAATAGAAGTTCAATCAAACGGGTCTTTAAGTCGCTTACAAAATTATTATTTTTAATAGCATTTTAGCATGTTAATTAGATATGAGGATGATATTGTTTTTGGATGGATCTCACTCATTATTTAAAGGCTGGGGATAAATATGTTACGAAATAAATGTTGGGTCTTTATTCTTATAGGAGTCAAAAGTTGGGGACGGTTGTTGTAATTACCCTTTGAGGATGAAAAGTAATCAAATTAATTTTGAGAAAAAGATTTATAGAATTTATTATCTTAAACTCTAATATCAAATAATATTTTATTTTAATAAATTATTAAAGCGTTGAAAAATATAAAAAGAAAATACATCACGTGACTCTTCCAATATTATAAACACAAATAAAAATTCTCAAGTGTTATATTCCAATTATAATATTTTCTTTAACAAATAAAAAATAGAAATAATCAATAAAAATAATTTTTAGTATTAGTGGTTATTTTTTAGCTAGAAATCAATTTTTTATTCATTTAGTATTGGGTTATTTTACAACTTAATAAGTTGTCAAGAACATATGCGCAGTTTTATTGGTATCCATTGTGAGAAAGCGTCATAGGAAAAAGATAATATGTAACATAATTAATAAAATAAGTATTTGTGTAAAAATAAAATTAGTTATGCAAATGACGCAATGAATAATCGATTGAATGTTAAATTTATAGAGGGATAAATGAATAAGAAAGAAAGAAGGAAACTTAATATTTTAGACGAAAATAAAATAATTATTGAACTTTGGGAGATTAGAATGTTGATATGTAAAATTTCATGACTTACTACAAAATGATGCGATTTTCAAAATTTCTTTATCAAAATTTGAAAACGCCACAGACTTGACTAGAACCAACTCCAACAAAAGCCAAATTGCTATAAGCTCGATTAATTTGACTAAATGCCTCTTTACGAGTAAAAGTAACAAGACAGCCGTGATTATTTGATGCGTAAAGAAGGCCTTGCAAAAAAAAAAAAAATAATAAATAAAGTAAAAAAATTAGATGAGGATCATTTTTTATGTCCTTTGAAAGCGAAATATTTTGAATATTTACTAGAGGGTATATATATATATATATATGAAAATAGACAATTTTATTGAAAATTGAAGAAGATTTAAATATTACAATGATAATTGAAAAGTATTTGAGAGAACAAATTACAAAGAAAAGTAAAACTTCTTCTTGCTTAATTCGCTCTGTCTTCAAATGAAATCTTCAACTCAATTTATAATGAAGTCCGGACTTGAAATTTCTTTCATTTGAGAAAAAGAATCTTGAGAAGAGGAGTGGACGACATCATAATGAAGCATCTTGAAAAGTAGCATCAACTTTAGTCAAAAGTTTCCAATTTTTGACTTCCTTTAATAAAGATAATCTTTTTCTTTATTAAAGTAGGATTTGATGTCTGACACAAAGTTGATAGGAATCTTGACAAATGTAACACCACCGATTTTGAATTGGACAGAGGTTGAGGAGAATTTCTCTTGCTTGATAGACCCTTGAATTTCTCAAATCGTCAAGAAAACTGGGTCCATGTAGTCATTTTGTAGATTTCTTCTTTGAAGCTTTTACTTCTTTTTCTTGAGCAAGATACTCGGCATAGTCATCACCTAGATCAACTAAGTCATCACCATTGTCAGTCTCTTGAGAATATTGAGATTCTTCATCTTGATCATCATCAGAAACTTTTGAAGATCCTTGTTTAGAAATTTGATTGTAAATTTCTAATAATTCTTTAGGATCTTTACATTTTGATAACATTGCAATGATTCTCTGTTTTTCAGTCAGAAAATCAACTTGATCTTCTTGTTCTTTCTTTGAGAATTTAGGTACACCTAAATTTCTTTATTCTTGAATCCATGATTGAACTGCTTTTGGACAACAATTTGTTTCTTTGAATTTTGCCCACCATTTGATCTTGAATCTTCTTGTAATTTTGTGGGTTGAGAACATATCTTGAGGATTTTCATAATGGAAAAAATCCCAACAGAAAATCCATGAAACTTTCATATTGAAAGCAAATTGAAAAAGAAGATTTTCTTGAGGCTTGAGAAAAGGTTTTGCCTCTTTTTTGAAGTATTCATATCCTTGAAGAACTAGACTGGGCAAAATTTGTTCTTCAAGTCCATGATACTGGAACCAATTTTGAAACCAACTTGGGAAATGAGGGTTACAATTTTGATTGAAAATAATGAACCAAGAATGGGTAACAGGTCTAAAAAGAAGAACCTTATACCAAGCATTCTGGTAGTCAAAATAATTAAAAGTATCTTGACAAGTAAAAAATATTTTTGAAAGACTAAGTCTCTTTTCTTCCCAATGATTCTGTCCCCAGTCTTAATAAGACAGAATTCTAACAATTGAAATTTTTGAAAACATGATTTTTGATTTATTTCTTGGCTCAGGAGTATGAGTAATAACTACAGAACCAGTCAAGCAAAGGATGGTTTCGTAATATTCTCTGGTTTTTTGAATATTTGAAGGCATGAACTAAAAATTTTCTGGAAGAATATTTTCAAGGCAATCATCAAGACCACCATATCTATTGAGCCAAGAACTTTCCATTGTAAGAACACAATCAGAAAGACTCTTAGTAAAGTATTTGAAGGAATTTGGAGGGTTAATTTGAGGAAGTTTGCCAGAACTTTGAACGGCTTTTTTGAAATTTGAAGGGGTTGAAGTTTCAGCTTTTTGCTTGAGTTTATTTTGGTCAGGTTTTTTGATAAAGGTTGAAAGGGTATTTGAGGAAGATGAAGCTTCCTTTTGATCCTTTGAGGGATCTTCGAAGAAAGGAATTGAACTTTTCTTCTTTCTTGAAGTTTTTGTTTGAAAAGGATTTTGAGAATCCTCTTCATCTTCAACTCGCTTAGCCCAACTCATTTTTCTCACTCTTTTGAATAAACTCTCTTGTGAGGAAGTCTGCCAAGAAGTTTGATTTTCCTTAAATATACAGAATTTCGAAATCAAAACAGGACAAAATTGCCTGCCACCTTGCAAAGATTTGTTTGGAAACAAATTTTTTTACATCTTTTGTAAAACATCTTTTGAAACTTTGCAATCGGTTTTCAAAATAAATTTTTTATTGATCAAATCATCTTGAAATTTGGAAATACAAAGAACTATTGAAAGAATTTCTTTTTTGATAGTTGAATAGTTGATTTGAGGTCCAGACCAGACTTCACTATGAAATCTGACTAACTGTTCTTTTCACGATCCTAGGGGTAATTGTTTTAACACACCACCGAATCCTATGTTTGAGGCATCTGTCTCGACGATAATTGAGGCTGTGGGGTCAAGGATTGATAGACAGGGAATATTTTTGACCAACTGTTTCACCTTTTGAACCGCATGAGTACACTCGTAACTCCATGGGTCAGGGTTATTTTGTAATCTTTTGAATAATGGGGCACAAATTTGACGAATATCTTTGATAAAATCGGCCACATAATTGATACAACCTAAAAAGCGTTGCAAACTTGTTTTTTCTTTGATTTCATCTAAAAATTTGTCAGTAAAATCAAGACTTCTTTGAATTGGAATAATTGAAGAATTTTGAATAATATGACCAAGAAAACGAATTTTTGTTTGAAACAAAACAATCTTTTTAACAGAAACTGTTAAACCATTTTTCTTGATGACATGTATAAATGTATGAATATGCTTGAAATGTTGTTCAATGAATTTTGAAAAGATGAGAACATCATCTATATAAACGATAAT